TAAAGATATACAAGGTGGATTTTCTGTTTACAGTGTATGGAGAAACATATAATTATTACTTTGCAGAATTAGAAGTCTAGAGTAGAGTGGTTAGGAGTAGTATAACCATCAATTCAATCGTATTTTTAAGAGTTTTTTTCATTTGCCATCCTCAGTGTGTTGACTTCATTCTGAAGCTAGTTCCTTTTGTGGTTGCAGATTGCTGCCAGAGGCAAGCTGGATTATAGGCTGATTTATTCATACCTGCAAGGAAAGATAGAACCCTCTCTCTTAAGCATGGACTAAAAAGCCTCCCCGTTAGTCTGTTTGAGATAGTTTACCTCAGAACTATATGATTTTCAGGTGTATTAATTAAAATCGTCTAGGACCTAGCACAGACTAGATTCTAGGTCATACTGCAGTAAAACCAAGAAAACTGCAAATCTCTTTGGTTTTCTTTTCTTATGCTATTTTTTTTTTTTTTTTTTGGGCAACCTTCCAACCTCCAGCTGCAGAAAGATAGCTTTTCAGGCATATATGAAGACAATCAATCATAGTGTATTTTTACTTAAATACACACACACACATATTCTCTATATATTCATCTGACCTGATGAGAATGGTAGGTAGGCTAACAAATGTTTTATCATCTTTAATAATACTGGTCTTGAGGCTGAAGGATAAAGACTTACAATTAAATATGTTACAAAAGTGAAATATATATCAATTGTAATTACAGCCCATTATAGATTAGTGGTTTTAACTAGTCATATGGTGTGTCCAATGGCAAGGGTAGGTGGCAGGAAAGTATGTATGAAAATATAAGGTCTTCATAGATGCCTGAAAAGTTTCCCTTCTGCAGCTGGAGGTTGGAACGTTGCCTAAACCCCAACCCCACCCCCCACCCACCCAAAATAAAACAAAAGAAAACCAAGGAGCAATATAAATTTGGAACAGGAATGGATCTTGAATAAGAAATCAATGGTGTCAACTATATGATGCTTTATCTTGAAGAAAACAGGCATTTCACCTACCAGTTAAAGGGAGGGGTAGTGTGGCTGGTTTCATTAGACTTTAAACCAATTACTTCATTTCCCTATTGATTTATTGGGAAGATTGGCTTTGGCTCTTCAATGAGTGGGTGTGGACAGACTTTCTATTAATGGTGTTGGCTCAAAAGTGACTTAAAACACTTAACTGGATTGAATATATAGACTTTCTCCATATTTCGTTGTTGTTACTGTTGGCATGTTAAGCTGAATAGATTTATAGCTTTAGAACTGAAAAAAAAACTCTAAAATTTATCTAGTCTAACCCCTTTTATAGATGAGAAAACTAAGGTTCAAATGGGTAAAAGGATTATTTCAAGGTCACACTTCCTTGCATATGGCAATGATAGGGATAGCAGTGTTTGGATGATTTCTTGTTAAATGGAATCTTCTAAGTAAAATGCAGTGAAAGCCATGACTAGAAAATGAGAACAATGGAAATTACTAAGAATGTTTCCAGGGCTGACATTCAGTTTGTCCACATCAGCAGAAGTGGGGAATTTTCTGAACTGTTTGGTAAGCAGCTGCTATTGCACCTCTTGAGAGCCTCAGCTCTTGTTTGCGATACCATAGATTTCCACACTGTACTAATAGAACCCATCTGAGAGGATTAAATGATGGAGGTAAAGAGTTTATTTTGAGGCCTGGTCCTTAGTAATATTGCAATGTGGTGGTGCTCCTTGGTGGCGCAGAGGGTTAAAGCCACAGGTTAAGAAGCTAAAGCCACTTCAGCATGAGTTCAATGCCCGCCCCGTAAGTGACCCACATGGAGAGGCAGATCTCTCCTGACCCTCCCGCTGCTCCCCTCAGCAGTGTACTTCGTTGATCTGCCTGTTCTGTTCCCCACTCTGTCTCTGGTGAATCCTCTCACTGCCCCTGCACCTCTGGCCTGTACCCCAGTACTGTATGCATAAATAAATAAAACTTAAATATATATATATATGTATATATATATATATATATATTGCATGTGGCTGTGATTTTTACTATAGTCATTAATAAAATGGTAGTAAATTTCAAATAGTTTCCATATGAAATTTCACAACTTTGGAAATGTCATAGCATTCAAGTTCATTAACACTGATATAGCTAATCTCTCAATAAAATAGGTACTCTGTATGTACTTACTTAACCTTCATTTTGATATTTTCCATTGTTTAATGGTTTGCTCCTGGTCCTACCCACAACATTCTGTACCTCTGGCCGATGACTAAGAATTTGACTCAGGTTGTGCAAAAGAAAATAATGTGCTAGCAAGGTCAGATAAGTTCTTAGTATAATATATCATGAACTAAGTTCTATACACTCTTGTTGAGCTGAATTTGTCTTTAATTTTTGGGATAAGCAAACATAGGCTTAGAGGTTGGTTAGTGAGGGGTGTAGGAAATGGTAGAGCACTTCTGGCTTAAGCAAATATCAAGAGTGAAGAGTGGTAGAGGCGGAGAGGAGCAGTGTAGTGAGGGGAGTGCAAAGGGTGGAAGGCTAGAGAGATGTCTTTTCTGTCATCCCAGTGATGGTTAGAACTTTCTTTGCGGATAGGGGAAATTTTTCTTCTTTGAATCAGCTCTCTCTTGGAAATTTAACCAGGCAAAATTTTAGGAATATTCCTCTTTGCAGAGAACAAAAGAATTTTTTTTTTTTTTTTAAAGCTGGGGCTTTTAACATTTTCCTGGAAACTTATTGGCTTCGAATGTAATGTGTACAGATTTATTCTAGGTCAGTTGTTTACCTGATACAGTTCTGAGGTGGCGGCTAAATCCTGGGCATGTACTGGAAAGGTTCTGGTAAGTGTACAGTCACAGTCTGAGAAGCACAATAACTGCATAGCAGAGATCAGAATCAACACGAACTAGTGTTCTAGAGCCACCAAAGTTATATAGCATTTTAATATAAAGCATAGTTTATAAAAATGCACTAATTCCTTTACAAACATCCCCAGGGAGATTTTCTTTTCTTTCTTCCTTTCTCTCTCTCTTTCTTTCTTTCTTTCTTTAAAGCAGAAGGTGGTAGAAAAGACAAGTATTTAAAATTTTTTTTGATTTCGGGGAAGGAAAAACAAAAACTGGAAATTTTAAGGCAAATGTAAACCGTATATTTGAGTATCTTAAAGCATTATGCAAGTCAAGCAGTAATGAGTGTTAACCAGAAATGGCTCTGTCCTATCTTGAAAACTGAGGAGCTGTGCAGGCTTGCTGGAATGTTTTTTAAAGTGCTGTTTAAAAAGTAAATACTAACCAATACCAGCACTACTCCTGATGCCTAGAGTATGACTGATAAGACTGGCCTTTAATCCTTCCTATTATTGAACAAACCCCAAATTTCTGTTCATTTCCAGCAGCAACTAAGTCGTGTGGCCCTTATGCCACAGTTTTGTTTGGTTTACAAGCTTAGTGTGAAAGTCACTTTAGTAGAGGGAAACAACCACTCACTCAATAATAATTGTTCAATGATGACATCCAAGCTCTCTGAAGTAGAACATAATCCTTGCCCTGCCAGTATATATTTTTTGTGTGACCTTAAAAGAGTCACCCTACTTTTCTCTTCTCACAGGGAGATAAAGGCCATAGAAAACAACTGAATGCTACTTTGTGAAGCGCCTTTTGTTTAAAAGGGCTGATAAATAAAAAGAGTCAAAAGGTCCAGCAAACCTTTCTCAGAAGCAGCCCAGTTCCTTGCGGGCATGGAATTTTTTCCTCCCTTGAATCAGCAGCATCTTATTTGTAATCGGTAACATAGATGCTGCCTATAAAAAGGTCTCAGTAAAAATTGTCAATTTATCAGTCATGAGGCAGATTGCAGTCCTGGGAAGACCCTGCCCATTAAATCCCTTTTCCAATGATCCTTTTCATACCTGCGTCTAAAAGACCAACGTTATTTTCTGGGGTAAGCAGCCGTAGCACTTACTTAAAAATACCTAAGCCTGGAAGAACAATTCTTGGCTTTAGGGCACCATTTAGCTGCTCAGAGGTTTGAGCCCCAGGCTTGGGATATCGGTCGCGAGGCTACAGGGAAGAGTTCAGGACGGGAAGCTCGTCCTCCCGCCTTCTGATTGGCCGGCTGGCACTCCACTCACGCGGCTCGCGTCCCTGATTGGTCATCGCAGCACCCCTCGCTCGCGACTACTTTGTGTGCCGGGGCGGCGCGCTCGGCTCGCTCGGGTCAGCTCGCCGTCTGGGCTGGCCTGAGCTGCCCTTCGGCTCACGGCTCTGCAACGCGAGCGCCAGGAACCCCCCGAGTCCAAGCGGGTAGGAAGCATCCTAGGGCAAAACCTCCCCACTCCCCTTCATGTTCTCTTTCCCGTCCTGAATAAACTTCCGCTTCTGAAGGGCTGTGCAGCGGCGGGTCGGGGAGAGGCCAGCATCGCACTCAGGCCCTCCGGGGTGTCTTTCTTGCTGGGGCGAAGATGGAAATACAGGTCTCACAAGATAAAATCGGGCTTGGCTGGTATATGGGGGAACGCGAAGCCATCCGGCGATCACGCTGCAAGCCGCAGCCCTCGGCCAGACCTCGGTTGCGGGGCCGACCGGCAGCGATCACTCCTAAAAAGTGACAGGGAGTCCGCTTCAAATCCCAGGGCCGGGGCTCCGTGGGGTGGCGGACTGAGGGGCGCGGGTCGGTCTGCTCCCCGCCGGTCGGAAAACTGCGGCGTTCCCTGGAGGTGGCGCTTCCCGGAGTGGAGACCGGCGAGACCAGCGCCCGCTCAGCCCTCGGCCTTCAGGCGGTAGAGGGCGGCCTACGCTCGCTTGGAGCCGGCGCCCGCGCCCGCAGCGGCTGCCCGGCTGCTTGTTCTCCGGCCCCGCGGTGGCCCGCGGCTGTGCCCGGCGGCTGATGCTGCGGCTACGCTCTCCACCGGCGCTGCGAGAAGGGGGCGGGGAGAAGTCCTGGCACATGCCAGGGTCGCCGTAGGTGGCAGCGGCCGGCGCATGCGCACCCTCTCCCAGAAGCCTGGCACGCCGAGGGGCGCGCGGCCCCTTCGCGCGCGCACGCTTTCGCGAGCCCCGGCTTCCCCGCCTGCGCTTGTTGTCAGAGCCGCTCCGGCGCGTGCGCGCGTTATCTCCGGCGGACCCGAGTAGCCGGGTTCCCCCAGCTCCAGGCCCCCGCCCCTGCCGCCCTCTCCCACCCCCCAGGCTCCCACCCCCTTCCTCTCCTCGCGGTATGGGGCTGGCGCTGTTCGGGGTCGCGCGCCCTGGCCCCGGCTCGCGCTCGGTCTCGCGCTGTCAGCTACTGCCCGGCTCGCGCCGCCTCGCGCTCTCCCTCAGTCAGTGGCGCCGAAGGCTCCGTTAAGCGGCGGCGGTGGTTCCTGTTTCCGTTTCTTCCTCTCCCTTCACTCGGGAGTAGCATCCTCCACTCAGTCACCCCTCCCACTCCCCCAACGCGGGGCAGCTGCGGCTGAGGGCTGTGGCGGCGGCGACGGAGGCGGCTCCGGGAACCGGGGATAGCGGAGATCGCCTCTGCTCGCGCCTCGGGTAAGGGGGCGTTTGGAAGCCGGGCCCCTAGCGCCTCGGGGTCTGGGGCCGGGCAAGCGCGGGATCCGAGGAGGCGCCGGGGCTGAGCTTGGGGACCGTCGCTGCTCTTCTTCCTCCGGCGACCCCCGGGCCTGTTGCTGCAACTGCTGCTGCTTATCCAGCGGCTCCGGGAAAAGTGGGGAGGGAGCCCCCGGGACGCTGTGGCGGGTGTCCTGGCGCGGCCCGGGGAGCGCGATCAGGGCTGAGGGGCTCCCGCCGCCCAGACCAGGGCGCGGAGCGGCGCAGCTGCCCCCGGCGTGGCGCATCCTGGCTCTGGGCAGGGGCCCGAGCTGTGGAAGGGAGTGGGGATGGGGGCGGGGTGGGAGGTGTCCCTCTTCTCTCCTGCACACCTACCTGCCCTTTCTCCGGCCACTCGGTCCCTGCAGTCACGGCCGCGGGGTGAGGAGGATGCCGTGCGTCCTGGGCTTTCGAGAGGTGTTCTCGGGCTAGAAATCTGGGAGAGGACCCGCACAAAGATCCGCTCCCTGGAGGGGCCAGTGCCTGGGCACTTAACAGCCTGAGTGCCGCTGCACCTCTCTCTCCTTTTGATGTTGAAATGACGAGCTGGCAGCTTTTGAGTATCTAAACTTGTTTGGGAAGGTTAAAGGAGTCCATATTTATTAGTTGAAGGTTTGTCCTGTAGGACTGAGTGGGCAGTCGGGTGCAGCACCTGTTCTCTCACCATGGGGGTTGCAATCTTCAACCACACAGAAGGTCGGAGACGTAGTGTTTAGCTAAAGTTAAATGGTAGTGTCACGGTTTGGGTTTACCCCTGGTGCACTTTCAGCGTTCTGTTCTGTTAGCCTTTTGATTGAGGCCTTGGCTAAAGGTAGGGGCAGGTGTTCTTTCTTCTTCTGTTTGAATAAATTTGCACTTTACTTAAGCCGAATCAAGAAGGTGGGCCTAGGAACTATCCAGTGGATAGCTCCAAACCTCAAGGTAACGCAGAACACATTTCAGCGAAAGTTTTTCCATCAGCTTAGATTCAAACTCATCACAAGTAAGTGATTGAACTTTCCTCCTGGTTCTCTTTAATACATTCGTTCTCTTCAGAAACTGCAGATGAGGTTTTATTGTAGTTTCCCCTCTCCCCTTGTTGTTTCTGGGTTTATCGTAGGTATTTATTTTATTGATTAAATTTAGATCCATCTTTTATGTGTACTCATTTTAAAAGATGCATCATATAGAAAACATTTTAGAAGAGACTAAAAGCACTGCAGAGCTCTACATTGAAATAATGAAGGAACGTATATTTTCTTTCTTTAAGAGCTTAAAAGCAGCCTAAATTCCCAGTAGTAAAGACCAAATAATAAGGCTTTGTATATTTCTAGTCTTGTGAAATATACCATAAAGTGTGTGTAGGAAGTGTAAATTACTCGACATAACATTACAGTAGTCAGGATAGGTGGGAATTCTTACATCTGAAATTGTGATTTTGCAACTCAGTATGTAGAAATGGAGGGAGCTAGAAATGAATATAAGGAGCAGAAAGGGGTAGTTTGGAGGCATGGACTTTCTCTTGCTGCTTTATAAATTGGGACTTCTACTTGAAGAGCTGAACAGCTGGAATGAAACTTACATAGATTGCCAAACAGAAGCAAAGTGTATCTTTGCTCAAAACTGTAAGTTTATATGAAGGGTATACTGTGGATATACTATATACTAGGACAGTTATTCAAAGTAATTTATTTGCAGCACTAAATAGATTGTATTTTAGCGTATCTTAAATTTTAAAAGCCGCTTGAAGTTGCTTTCCCCTAAAGCAGTTCTATGTAAAATGTATGCAACGGAAAAAACCAATTCTGTTTATATTCTGCAGTGCTTGGTTAAACATTTTAACTAGTTACTTTAAGGAACTGGAATATCTTTAAAAATGGTGAATTTTGAAATTTGCTGGTGTCTTGGAAAAACTTGTATTTCTTGTTTATTTTTTAAGTGTAGTTTTATTAGTAGGTTGGTCTGGAGGGGGAGCTAGTGCCAAGGCAAATGTATCTTAATAATGTTTGGACTTTAACAACACTCCAAAACAGATTTTTATAAGCAGAAGAAACAGATTTTTATTGAAAAGAATAAGGAGTTGATATTCATATATCTGTACTTAGTTGTTTGTGGTATGTTTATATTATGTATGAAGTTAAAAATCCTTTCATGATCGGAAATAATGGAAAGTAAAACCTGAATGTTTATTGAATTTCTCATTTAAAATCCGAAACTATGTTCCCAAACTTAATGATGGTAGTTCCTTAATATTCTGGTGCATTGCCTGAGAAGGGAAGAGGTATATTTTGACCCTTTGTGCACGTTGCATGTTCTTAAAATATTATCTTAGAATATTTACTGTCCTGAAATTAAAAAACAAAACCAAAACCAAACTTCAAGTAGACTCTTATATGGACAAAGAGATAACTGTGTAATAAGCTAGATATTTATCAAAAGTAAAGGATGGATCCTTCAGATATCTGAAGAACAGGATCACAAGGTCACTTCTTAACCTCAAGTCTCCTGCAATATAATGCAGTGAGTAGCTGAACTTGTGCCTTTGAATATGAAACAATTCATATATTCTTCAAAATCAAGTCTAGAAATTGATAAAGTATATACCAAATTATTAGAATGTTTAGTTTTCTGAGGATGGTGGTTGGGCTGTTCTCCATTGCTCTTCATTATGTAAATGATTTCAAATGCTGGTAAAATAAAAAATAGATTATTTTAAAAGAATGACAATATCTGTGAGCTATAGAATAGTGAAGTGTTTATCACTTATAACTTAATGTACTAAGTTACAGTTTTATAAGACATGCCAGAATATTTTTGTGCATTTTTAAAATATTCGTAATGTTATTTTTGATTTACTATAACTGCACTTAAATTCTTGATTTAATACAATGGTAAATATACCCATTTCATATTAAAGTACATTTATAAAAATATTTCTGTTCTATAATCATAAAATATGAAACTAAACATATATATGCTTCTTTACTTAAAATTAAAACAAAATTGAGATTATTAGGAACTCTGGAATTAAATGCCATAGAAATACTTTTATATTCTGCATCAATACTGATCCTATTGGGCATTTTCACCTTCCCGTCTTGTATAGTCAACAGTCATGTAGTAGGTATAATATTTAGTGGACTAATAGGAAATTCCCTTTTGTTTTCCTCCTCCTACTTCTCTGGCTTATATTTTGGGTATTTTATAGTATATGGTTTCTTTTTTTTTGCAATTTGAATTGTTAAATTATATGTGGTGATAGGTGATTAGACATGTTTGAAAGTAAAAGACTGTTACTCCTGATTTTTTTTCCAAAAGATTAGTTTAATCCCCAATAACAAGTACTCCTGATTTTTTAAAAACTACAATATGTAGATATGTGTTCATTTAAGGTATTTAAAAAAAATGTTTATTTTACTTACTCATGTAAGAGCTGGGGTGTAGGCCAGAGGGTGCAGGGGCGGGGGTTGAGAGTAGTAGCGGGTGGGGGTTGAGAGGAGTAGCAGGCAAGAAAGACAGATGTCTGCTGTGCCATGTGGGTCACCTCCCTGGCCAGGATTGAACTCTTGCTGCAGTGGTGCTGCAGTGGCAGCCAATAACCTCATAGTGCTGAGACATAACCACTTGTGCCACCACGGAGGCCCCTAACGTTGTGTGTGTGTATATATATACATACTCATTGGATTAATTAAAATCAGACCAGTAACGTGGCACAGGTTTTTCTTCCTTTATATAAACTGTATATAGTATTGTATGTTTTCCTTTCAATGGAAGAAGAACAAATAGGCCTTATGGGATTATGTCCATGTATTTTGATATAATAGTTGTTCATATTCTTTACAGAAGGCAGAGTTGTTGGGTTAATTTCATTTAAATTTTATTTTAAAGACTTTTTTGACAAATCTTAATGCCTCATTTACTTACTACTTTTTAAAAATACCTTTTTGATACAGTTTTTATGGTCATGTTTTGAGTTTTAAATTATTTTTTAAATTGAAGTAACATTGCATTATATAATTACATAAATTTCAGGTGTGCATCACTGTAAATCATTGTCTCTGTATACTACATTAAATTCACCACAATTCCATTTCTTTCTGTCCTGTACAATTGATTCCTTTTACTTGATTTACCCACCACTCTCCCCACTTTCCTTCTAATAATTAAAGGTTCTTTTTTTTTTTAATTGGAAGATTATACCAGTTTCAGGCTAATAGTGATGTGATCAGACTTGCTTTTTATATATTTCTCTTTTTCCTTTGTGTGGGTTTTGGAATACAACCTTTCATGGAAGCACTATTCCAAAACTTTAAAGATCAGCACTGAAGTGCTTGCTTTATTTGTTGGACCTTAGGACTCAGGTTTTTTAACATTTATAAATAAAAAAGACAGCATATTTATGTTAAGAAGATGAGGCTTTACAGATGTGATTGTCACAGTCTTGATGACTGGTCAATGTAAAGTTCACTTTATATATAATAAAATGTTGATATTAATATTAGATGTAAATGGGAAATTAAGCTAATGTTTATTTTTGAACCTGAGTTATGAGAAACATTATATGACATGAACTTTAAGTGTTAACTTACTGATAATGAACTAAAGTGAAATGAAAATGGGAGTTTCTCCTTTCTGACTTCTAGCATACAACTAAAATGAACCTGTTTTGTGTCAGTGTGCATCTATTCAATTAAGACTACAAATCCTGAATGAGTTCTAAACTTTTACTGATTTGTGGCTGGTTATTTATATTATAGCCCTTAAATGAGATTTGCTATCTAGAGCCAGAATAAACTGCCTAAGTAAAAGCAGTATTTATAAACCATCAAGTGGTGAAAGCATACCAGTGTTATTGACTTAAGCCAACATTTAAACTAGTTTTAAAAACCATTTTTATAATAAAAAAATTGATTATAATATCTTTATTAGTGGTAAAGTGGGAAGAACACATTTTGCAGCTTCTA